GCTGCCAGACCGCCGTCTACATGAACTGGAACTGGCTGTGGAGCTTCCACGGCCTCACCATCAACAACGCCAACGTCGGCATCGACATGAGCGCCCTCGACGGCAACGGCAACCAGAACGTCGGCTCCATCCTGCTGGCCGACAGCAAGCTCAACAACGTCAAGGTCGGCGTGCTGACCAACTACAACGTCAACCAGAACGGCACCGCCGGCACCCTGATCCTGGACAACGTCGATGCCACCAACAACACTCCCGTCATGGTCAAGAACGCCCGCTCCGGCGCGACCATCCTCAACGGAAACGCCAACATTGCCTCGTGGAGCCAGGGCCGCGCCTACACCAACTCCAACGGAAAGGCCGTTCAGGGCACCCGCGCCGCCGTCAGCAAGCCTGCCGCGCTTACGTCTGGTGGCAAGTTCGCGACTCACACCCGACCCCAGTACGAGACCGTGCCCGCCAGCAGCTTCGTGTCCGTCAAGTCCAAGGGCGCCAAGGGCGACGGAAGCACCGACGACACGGCCGCCATCCAGGCCGTCTTCAACAGCGTCTCCTCGGGCCAGATTGTCTACTTCGACCACGGCGCCTACGTCATCACCGACACCATCAAGGTGCCCAAGAACATCAAGATTGTCGGCGAGGTCTGGCCCCTCATCATGGTTGGCGGCTCCAAGTTCAAGGACCAGAACAACCCGCAGCCCGTCTGGCAGGTTGGCCAGCCCGGCGATGTCGGCACCGTCGAGATCCAGGACCTCATCTTCGAGACCCTCGGCCCCCAGCCTGGTGCCATCATCATGGAGTGGAACGTGGCCGGTGCTTCCCAGGCCGGCGCCGGTCTCTGGGACGTCCACTTCCGCATCGGCGGCACTGCCGGCACCCAGATGCAGTCTGACCGCTGCGTCAAGACGCCCACCGTGACGACCAACCCCAACCCCTCGTGCTTCGGCGCCTTCCTGCTCGTGCACGTCACCTCGTCGGGCTCCATCTACATGGAGAACACGTGGCTGTGGGTGGCTGACCACGAGCTCGACCTCGCCGACCACAGCCAGATCAACATCTACAACGGCCGCGGCCTGCTCGTCGAGAGCACCAAGGGCACCTGGCTGTGGGGAACCGCCTCGGAGCACAACGTGCTGTACAACTACGCCTTCAACAACGCCCAGAACGTCTACAGCAACATCCTGCAGACGGAGACGGCCTACATGCAGGGCAACCCCGACGCCCGCGTGCCCTACACCAGCCAGTCCAAGTACGCCGATCCCGACTGGAG